CCCCCCACACACATGAACAGATAACACACATTTTACCACACGGACACACTCCCACCTCAAGCACACAGCAGACTTCAGTGCCATGAAGAGGTGTTTGTGTCCACAGCACAAACGTGGGCACTCCTTCCTAAGCAGCCCTTTTCCTTTTTTTAAAGCAGGGTATTGTGAGGACTCTCTAAAGACCCTGTGTAAGGAGAGTGTCTTGAGTATTTTTCGGGCTGCAGTGGAAAGGTGTGTGCGACTTGGCTGCGCTGGACTCTAATCCTTGATTTCTATAAAGCAGTAACAGAGTGGAGTACACAACAGCTTGCCCCCCCCCTCCTGGTGCAAAACAGAAGTGATTTGGTTTAGAGTGTGAGTGGTGTATATCTCAAATGCTACTAAATCCCTGTGTGATTCTTCATATTCCTCTGTAGCCAGTGAAGTGGCAACTTGGTCTGTGTGTCCAACAAGAGTGTAACAAACAGATAGTTGAGCACTTGTCTGGTGGTCTTTCACAAGCTAACATCTGTTCGGGTGCTTGTCGTTGCGACTGAAAGCATCCGAGAAGGGAACACAGTTCTTCCTCTGTATGCTCGGCGGGGGAAGCACAGCAACTGTATGCCTGTGCGGGGAGCCGGTGCAGACCAGTGTTGGAGAGGCGCTGCCTAATCTAAGTGATGGGGGCAAACAGTTCAGATATTTAAAAAAAGAAAAGGAAAAAAAAAGCTTCGTAAGACCACACTTTGTTTAAACGTCACACTTCTTACAGAGAGAAGTGTGAGAGAGAGAGACCACTTTATTAGCGGTAACTGTTTTTCAATGTTTACTTGCCATTCTCTAGATATGTAGTACAGTTTGGGTTGTATATTTTTCTCTGTTCAAACTGAAGGCTAGTTGTGCTTCAAATTCTTATTCAAGAAACAAATGTTGCCTCGAAGTGACTTAATATATATATGTACATAAATATATATATATTAATTACGTAACCTGTATGAAGACCGAGGTCTGAGAAGGCTCTGTAATCTTACGCTATCGCTCCCATCGGAGCAGTTACACATTTTTTTTTTTTTTATTCCTTTTTTGTTTTCGTGCCCTTCCTGTTGCTTTGTTTCCTGACATTTATCACCATCCGGGTTAAGGCTTACAGAACCATGGTTTTATTATGAAAGCCTCTGGACCACTCGGAGCTAGAGCGTTGCTATCAGCATGTCAGTGTTGGCACTGACTGTTAATACGGAGTCTTTGAATTAATATCATTAGGTTAAACAGAATATCACTCGTGCTGCTGCAGTAGATAATTCAAAGTAAGTGTGATGTAATGTTGTGGATGAATATTTCTACAGTGGTAATTGGATATGAACTCTGAAACGGTTTTACTGAATCTTTGATATTTAAGCTTCCAGTACAGTTATTAAAAGGCACGGCACATTTCTCAAACAGTAACCAACAGATGGTAGAAATCTTAGATGTGAAGCACCTCATGGAACTGGCTTTAACTCACAAACTCACATTTAACAGATTCTCCACAAGGGGAAGCTGTTTGCTCATTGTCAGACTCCTTCTACACATGCCAGCCTGCGCCACCTGAAGGAAAGAGGGAAGCTGCAACAGTAGTTCAGATGTGTGTCGCCTCCTACAGGCAAGGAAGGTAAAAAAAGCTGCTCCCATTTTAGTAGATTTTCTTGTAAAAGCTGATTATACATGAGTGTTTAAAGTTTTGCGTTTTCTACAAACAACTGTTCGCTACGATAAAGTAAACAGCATCAATTAAGTCACTCAAAGTTCAAGATTCAAGTCATTAATTTATATAAACATGGAAATAACAGTGCTTCTATCCTTATCAACCAGTGCTGATTACCAAAGCAGAGAAAGTAAATGTCCATAAAATGAAAAGAAACTACCTTCCAGTGGATATTAAATATTCAAATTAACTCATTTCAGTAACCAGGACGGCGCCTGAGGTCAGAAACGACATGATGACATTGAGAGCATTGTGAAATATGGTCCAGTTAACTAATTCACTGTTAAACCTCAATATACAGACAAGCTACAAACACAAGAAAAGAGCCAGAAAGCGTCAAATCTGCAGCTTTGTTACACGTCTTTGCCTGTAGATGGTGCCCGTCAGCGCGTCTCTGCAGGTCTAAATGCTGCTGTTACTTTTCTTGCCAATAGGTGGCGCTGGTTGAACATGAAATGCAGGTCTGACACTGTTAATATGGACTGCCTGGTTTTGGGGCTCCGCATCAGTGACACTGTGTTCCCTTTACTGTGTTAGCAACTGGTCAATTACCCTGTTGTTTTTTGTTTTGTTTTTGTTTTTTTGTAAATTTTAACAGTTAATTTATAAATGCCTCAAGTGCATTTGGATAGCCAAATTACAACCTGATGGGGAAATAGTATCTAACAGTGAGTTTCATCTATCTGAAGAGAAATGTACGTCATATATTTTGTGCCAAACTTGTTTTCTTTTGTTTGCTGTTTCATACTGTGTGTGTGTGTGTATACGTGTGCTTGTGCACTTGAGTGATTTGGATTTTTGTTTGTTTTTCTCTTGTCTTAATTTCTTTGGTTGAAGATTTAAGTTTTAATGCTTTTTTTTTTATATATATATATATATATATATATATATAGCTTTTTAAAACTTCATTTAGGAATCTTTTCAATATTGTGGCTAGATGGTAAATTATCGAATGTCCATCTGTCTGTTTTTCAGTCTCGGTCTTCATTTGATAACAAGCATTTGACCGTGTTTAGTTGCATTTGATAAGCTTATTTTTCTCCCAGATTTATCAGTAGATCATAACAAAAATCACTGAATGTTCCAAGCCAAGCTGTACATGTTGACCACACTATATCCTCAACATTTGTGACTTAACCTGTCATAGTTTTTATTATTTCAGAGGGGGTGTTACTAAACAGGAGGCCATCGGTGTTGATTTAAACTCTAAATATCACTGTTTTTTTTTGTTTTTGTTTGTTTTTCTCATTTATTGGACCAACACATTGGTAAACCCATAAATTCAGATCCTACTTAAATTGGTAAGATTCTGCACCAGCCCCACGTGCACTCGTACAACTTTCAAGCAGACGACTGTAAATGTACAAAAATCACCTGTACGTACAGCAAATGTATATATTTATTGCTCAAGGAGACGGCCGCCTCTTGGTCTATTTGGTTGTATGGTGCAATTATTATTATATATTTCTCAAGACTTACCTGCTAGCCACTCCTGTTTTTAGTACGATGTGGTTTGTGGCCTGAACCCCCTCTCTGTGTGCCTAAAATTAGCCAAGAAATGAGTATGGCAACATAAGTAAATGGTGGTTATTATGTAAATATGGGAAACTAATGACAAACTATTTATTAAAGGTTTATTGTACAATGAAATGTTTGAGTTTGCCTCTGTGGGTTTTGGGGTGTGTGTTTTGTTTCACCTTTCAATGCCAAAGCTAATTAAGTGATCAGGATGTTTCTCTCTGCAAGATATAAACTAATAATTCCTCCACGTTTTATATTTAAAACAAGGATCCTGATTTTAATGGCTGCTAAATCCCATTACAAACAGTCAGCTTTCCTAATACCAGACTTTCTGTTTAATGCTCTAACTTTGGTCGTTGTTTGTTTAGTAATCTTGCCGCTCGGAGTTTTATTGCGGCTCTAATGCTTTCCCTCCACCTACACACTGTATATACTCAACTGGTATTAATGCACAGACTTAAGCTCTTTTGTTTTTTACAGTCTGAGCCTTTCTTTATTAAAGCCACATGGAGGCAGTAGTAAAGTCTGGCAGTAACACGGACCGCCCCCCCCCCCTGAGTGTTTACTGTAATACAAAAGTTGGTTTCTGTCCAAATATTGAGTAATTCCATTTTCTTATTAAAAGCAGCGTGTAATATCTGTAATATGTAAGAGGAAGACGTGTTCATCAGTGATAGTTCTGTATTATTTTTATGGGAAATAAATATATTAATGTGTGAATGCTCTGAACTAACAAGGTGTTCATGTGCCCAAAATGTAATGTAACTAATAAGTGTGGACGGTTTATTGATCCTATTCACAATAGTATCACTAATAGAAATACTTTGGGCATCAATCTGCCCCACCACCACCATGTACTACAACCCACAACCACAAATATGCATCATAAACCTTTACTTGGATAACAGGACTTATATTAAATAGACTTGTATTTATAAACTATTACCTGTTGATTGAAATGATGTAAATGAGGGTGAACTGTGGACTGATTTTAAAAGGAGAAAGGCGTCTCTATAAATCCCGGTACATTATTTGCCGCTGTCGCACTTTTCACTTGTGCTAACATGATCTTACATGATGATTGATGGTGCTTTCACATCACCTTCACTCTCGCCTTTGAGAGATTAGCCTACCTAGATAAACGGTGAAGACCTGTCAGCCAGCGTCTCTTTAATGGGACGTTTCCCTCCACATTTACAGAGCAATCTCTCTGCGTGCCACGAGCTGACGGACTGTTTCCTTCCATCTGCAGGAATATGATGATGTAGGCAAAGTGTCCACGTGGAGCAGCAGGTGTTCTGTGGTCTTAACCTCGGATAAAGGAGATAATAATAAGACTCTTAACCGTAATCCATGCTCATTGTTTCTTAATGAGCCCTCTAACAGCACTGAGGCACTCAGGTGGATTTAGTTACGATGCATTCATCAGCACAATGGGGGTCTCTTATCACCAACTACTGTACATACTGCGTGCAAATCCAGTGCATAGTGTAAGAAAGATGACCACCTTGTGTTATAGCGCACTTTGATTTTAGTTTCTACTGCACATGAAGGCTTGCAGACACATG